AACCCCTTACTCCCTCCACTTTAAACCCAGCCTAACCAGAAACATCCCCAAACTCGCCGAGCACTTTTTCCCCCGCCCTGCATAACTCCGGCAGCGTCTCACGCTCCGATCTCAAACCCTCCGCGCCTTGCTGAGGAGGAGGAGGAGGAGGAGGAGGAAGAGCAGCGGCAGAGCAGCGAGCGCGGAAGATGGAGGTGTCCACGGACCAGCCGCGGTGGGTGAGCCACCACCACCCGGCCGTGCTCAATGGGCAGCACCCGGACTCGCATCACCCCACGCTTGGCCATACCTACATGGACCCCACGCAGTATCCTCTCGCCGAGGAAGTGGATGTACTTTTTAATATCGACGGACAAGGCAACCCCGTCCCGCCGTATTACGGCAACTCCGTGAGAGCCACGGTGCAGAGATACCCCACGGCCCACCACGGTGAGTGCCCACGCCGAGCCCCGGCTCCTCCGGAGCGCTCCCGGTGCTGTCCCGGTGCTGTCCCGGTGCTGTCCCGGTGCTGTCCCGGTGCCGGTGGCTCCGCACTGTCTCGAACCCCTCGCTGCTGTCCGGGCAGACCCTCTCCTGCCGGCGGGGAAGCTACGTCACGGGTGGATTTTGGGGTTGGCTTGTTGGAAAGAAATAAAAATTTAGGCTTCCTTCCTTTCTTTCACTTTCTTTCTCTTTTGTTTTTTTTTTTTCTTTAAAAAAATATTTTCCTCTTTCTTTCTTTCCACTTATTTTTCTCTTTTTTTCTTCTCTTTTTATCTCTTATCCCTCTTCCCCTTCTCTCTTATCGCTTTCCCTGTCCCTCTTGCTTGCCCTCCTTTTATTTCTTTCTTTTTCATCTTTCTCTTGTTTTCTTCCTCTTGCCCCATCTCTTTCGCTTTGGTTTCTGCCYCCTCTCGTTAATTAGGTTAGCAGTCAGTGTTTTCATACTGTGTTTAGTTTTTGCACGATTAAGCTGCTCTGGGGAAGCAAAGCAAGCTGGAGAGCAGGGGTGTGAAAATGACCCCGCTGTCCTCACGCTTGGGCTATTTAATTCGCACTTGTTAGGCTTGGGTCGAAAGTTTTGCACACATACCCAGGGCAAYACCGTGGCGTGGGTTTAAAACGAGAAAGAAACTAAAAAAAAAAAAAACACATAGCCCGTAGTGTAATTGGGTATCAGACCTGGTGTGCTGTCTTGAGGGTCCTGCAGGAAGGTAATGATTCTCAATGTGAATTTTGTTCCTGGATCACAGCTCTTAGAAAGGAGTTGAAATAYCTGGGGCCGATGTGGCCCAGGTCCACGGAGGGACGAGTTCTTTGGTGCCATCTTTTGTGATCTGGAGAGTCAGTATTTATAGCTGGAGTTTACCTGTAGTGTTAAAAAATAGGGGAAAAAAACCAAAACAAATAAAAATGGAGGGAAAAGAACAGATAGTAGTTTGGGAAGCCGGGCAGTGATCTCTGTCGTGGCAAAGTACAAAAACCCGATGTTTGCAGTGGAAATAACCCCAAAATCAGGGAGAAAGCGGGACGAGCGGAGTGGAGATGGAGCCGAGCGGGTTCAGGAGGTTGCTCCCAGCCCTCAGCAACTTGTTGAGTGCGAGCCTGCATTAGGCTCCGCTCAGTAACTGCATTGTTCTGCTATTAGTCCCTTTAAAACAATTATTTTTAAGGATCAGCAGCCTTTGTCCTTTCTTTCTTTTCTTTCCTTTTCATTTCTTTTTTTCCCCCAATATATCAGCAGAAAGTGGAAATGTGGTCTCTCTGATCTAGCCTGAATATTATTTACTATGCTACTTCCTGGAGAAGATAATGAATCTTGACCCTTTCTATTCGTATAACCCACCTTCCCTTCCTTTCGAGCAGCGACTTTCAGTATTGTTCACGAACGCCTGGTATGGTGAAAACCAGTTTGGAGCTTTTCTAAGACACACACGAGCTCCCATGCAAACACATGTGTCCACCCTGTAACGATCTGTGCCTCGATRCATCTGTGTTTGCATCTCTCCTTCGGTGGATTTAGCAATCTCTATACACCTTTCACGATGCCTACAGAGGTTAAGGATCTCTGGATGTCAGTGACTTTCCAGGGCTTTATTAGCAGGCAAAAACTTGCTCCCTTCCAGTTGAATAGCTGTGCTTTCCATCTCAGAGCCATTTGCACAAGTTGCTGTGGGTTTGGCTAGATTTGATTCCTTGGATATATTTTTCTATTTGTTTAGCAAGGGCCGAGATTAATTTAAAATGCTAGGTACAAGCCCTTAAGGACATTTATAACCAAAGGGGAAAATATTTGACTGCRGGAATCTAGTGGATTTTTTTTCTCCACAAAGTCCAAGTGTGTATTTTAAAAGAAAAGTGAAGTGTCTGTTGTCACAAAAAGGGTATGGAGTGTTTCTTTTGAGTCAGTTGGTACCCTCTGCGTGTGCCATATCACCGCAAAAAAGTCATCTAACATTTCTGTGCAGCCTCATGGAAGAAGAAAAGACAAACTGAGTGGTTTGCAAAGTTATCTGCCGTGTTGCAAAAGTTATTATCGTGTCTGCGGGCATTTTCTGGTCTTCTTCGTTTGACCAGAGAATTCCCAGGGTTTGTAGCCCWCGGCTGTCTTCGGGAAATCATTTTCCAGCTAAGAAAAAAATTTGTTTCTGCAGTTAGGACTTGGCAATTTCACGCGGGATCTTTGCTTCAAAGTCTCCGTGGGATTGCCTGGAAAAGGGAGAGAGTGAAGCAGAGCTCGCCAAATCCCGTGTCACAGGGCTGGCACCCTGCTTGGAGGGTCCCGACCCTAAAACCCGTTCCTGAACAGGACTGGAGCCACCACTTCGTGCTCTTGTAGCTTTTAAATTTTAATCTTTAAAGAGGAGCGGGGTTTCGCATCAGATATAATTTTGCTTGCTCTCCCCGCATGCTGAGCTCTTTGGGAAGGACAAGGGGTGGTGACGGGGGAAGCACGTCCCGGGACCCCACGGGGGGCTTTGCCAGGGTGGCAGARGGATGTGACCGACGTGTCTCTGTGTTTTTCTCCGAGCAGGGAGCCAGGTGTGCCGCCCCCCGCTGCTGCACGGCTCGCTGCCCTGGCTGGACGGGAGCAAGGCGCTGAGCAGCCACCACAGCGCTTCCCCCTGGAACCTCAGCCCCTTCTCCAAGACCTCCATCCATCACAGCTCACCGGGACCCCTTTCCGTCTACCCGCCCGCCTCCTCTTCCACTTTATCCGCCGGCCACTCCAGCCCGCACCTTTTCACCTTCCCGCCGACCCCTCCTAAAGAYGTGTCCCCGGATCCGTCCATCTCCACCCCCGGCTCCACCGGCTCCACCCGGCAGGACGAGAAGGAATGCATCAAATACCAGGTGTCCCTGGCCGATACCATGAAGCTGGAGTCCTCTCACTCTCGGAGCAGCATGGCCTCTTTAGGAGGAGCCACCTCCTCCGCTCATCACCCCATCACTACCTACCCACCGTATGTCCCAGAATATGGCTCTGGACTTTTTCCCCCCAGTAGCCTCTTAGGAGGATCGCCAACCGGGTTTGGGTGTAAATCGCGACCAAAAGCAMGGTCAAGCACAGGTAGGGCTTTTGGCTTCTTCATCCCCGTTGCTCGGGAGATGAAGCTCCGGGGGGAAATTGGGGGGCAAAGGGATGGGGCTGCGCCCCTCGCTCCTCTCCGCACACYGAGAGATGTTCCCAAGCATCCTTGTGAGGAGCGGCAGGGGCTGAAACCCTCGCGGGGGACACACACACGACACTTTATCTTCCCCACAAAGTTGCTCTGCCAGGTTTATAACCAAATTCCCYCTTGTCCAACCCGGGCTGGCGATAGAACCAGGCCCAGAAACCCAAACCACCCACCCGGTGCCKCGGGGCTCCTGTCCCGGGGGCGACCCGGCTCCTCCAGCGCCCACGGTGCGCTCAGCTGCGGCGCCCGGGGAGGGAGCGAAACCGAGGGAACCGCAGCATTAGCCATCTCCCTGTATTTTAATAATGGTGCTAAATCCCGGCCAACTTCCCCCGCCCGYCCTCCGCCTCGCTCTTCCCAGGGCCTCTTCCCATGCGGCGCCCGAGGATGCGGGGAGGGTTTTCCCCGGGGCGGTGGGGAGAGTTCGCCCCCGCAGACCCTAACCAGCTCCATGCCAGGGGCTTTGGGGTCAATAAAAGACCCCAAAAGCGTCCCCCTGGCTGCTGTTCCCGGGGGGAGCTGGAGGGTCCCAGCTCCGTGCACTCCCTGCAGAGCGGGTGCGAGGGGCAGCGCGGCTCCGGCTCCGGGCTGAACGCTCCGGGCTTGCACCGAGGGGTGGGAGTGAGCCGAGGGGAGTGTGTTTGTGTGCCGAGGAAAGGGCGATTAGTAAAAACTCCTTTTTCCCCTTTATTTTTTTTTTTCTTTTTTTTTCTTTCTCTATTTTTTTTTTTTTCCGAGGAGGCTGCTGCAGGGTTGCCTGGCATGAATGAGATCAGTTTTCAGGGTTTTTCCAGGGTGACATTTACTCTGTCTGTCTGAGCAGGGACTGTCTCTATTTAGCTGATATGTTTGAGCTAATCCAATTATTTTCAGACTGCTGCACGCGACAGTTGCATTGTTTATCCAGCGCCAGGAACTTTAATAGAGTCCGGATGCGGTTAGAGTGACAAAAAAACCCAGACCTGTATGTTTTGTACATGAAAGCAGGAGAGAGAGAGAGAGATGGAGTGAAACAAAAGAGAGGGACAGAGACTCAAACAGCCCGGGAGCGGCTGCCCCGTTTAAGCAGAGGGGAACAAAACGACCTGGGTATTAACGGGAGCGGCTCCCAGCCTGGCCCCAGWGCGGATCGGGGGATATGTCCGGGATAGGGACCGGGTTATTCTGGCCCCGGGCGGTGCTGAGCATCCCCCGGCTCTCCCGGCGCCCGCCGAGCCGCAGATCCCGCCGGGGCACCCACYGCCTGCGCGGTATTTTCAAACCGTCTCGGCCCCCCCTCCGCCCTCCCTTCTTGTTTTCCTTTTGCCACTTTCTGTTACTTTACACTCTTGAAAGACATCTGCGGTGATAAACCAACCCCAGCAGCAACACCTATTTTTTTTTCTCTCTCTTTTTAATTTTTTTTTCCCCTTTAAAAGTTGATCTTAGCAGGCTGGGAGCTCTCAGACAAAGAGGGTTAGAGCTGGAGAAAAAGGAGGAAGGGGGTGTTTTTGCAGGATTAAAGAGGGAGAAAAGGCTGCAAATGTATTTTTTTTTTGTTGTTATTTTTGGGGGGGATGTGAGAGAAGAGGGGCTCGGTGCAGAGGCTCTGGAAAAACGGTTTGCAGTTTGTGGTTAGGGCACGGATGCCTCTTGCTCGAAGGCAGCACGGGCTGGGCCAGCGGGGAGCCGGCTCTGTGCTGAGCTGGCTCTGCTCTGCCTGGCTGAGCTCTGCCACTGCTCTCAGGTGGGCCACGGCTGAYGTTAGGTACAAGAAAACATCCCCCGGTAAACCAAAGACACAACATAAAAACCCTCAACCCTCTGAGAGGCAGGTTTACAACCTCCCAGTTCCCTCCTCCAAGCTGGGAACTGGTGGGCTGGGGGACATCTCCCCCTAAAATAGCCAGGARSAGGAAAAAGAGGKGCCCARAAAGAARGAGAAGAAGGAGGAAAAGAACTTAKGAGGGYACAGGCAGGGTCAGGGCTGTTTGCTATCCCAGACAGCCTGGGTAGACTATCAGGCTGCAGATGTGTTGGGGAAACCAAGGGTTTCTGAAAGTTTTGGGTGGCGGAAGCATAGTTTCAGATTAATTAATAGCAAATATTGTCAGAGCGGTTGTGTGTTGGCTGGAGCTGGGGAGGTGTTTTGGTGGTTATCTGTAAATATTTTGGGGGTCCTTGATGTGGTTTGACCTGAGGCCAGAGGAAGAGCCCTCCAGGTTTATGAKCAYCCCTGGGAGCTRGRAGAGYRCTCAAGGAGTGACACTGGGGTCCTMATRCRCATCAGAAAGWGGGGCAYGGACTCAAATTTTTTCTCCATCATTTTGGGCGTAGAGGGCTGGAGGCTTCTTGAAAAGGCAGGCAAGGTTTTTCTGGTGCTTGTGGCAACAGGGTCTCTGGAGAGTTGTAGAAGCCCTTAATCCAAATGTGAGGAGGAATTGTCAGCCCCCTCACTCCCCCAAAGAAGGGACCTGTGGGAGGAGTGAGAGCTGCTCCAGGGAGCCCCTTCAGCCACCATGGCATTTGGATTGTCATTGTCACTGTCCCTCTTCCCTGCTGCTGGGACATGGGACATGGACCTGGTGCTGCCTGTGGGGTGGTGTTGGGGAGGGGAACAGGATCAGATCCCACCAGATTCCCCTCATCCTGTGCCAGGGACATTGTTCATCATGGCTTTGGACCCTCGCTTGGAAATCTGAGCTGGGGGAGGACGGGCAGGGTCTCTGGGGAGTTTGTGGGGATTTTTGGGAATGGGGGTAGCTTTCCTCAGCCCTTTTTACCTCTGCTTTCCCTAAGTGAACTATGTGCTCTCTTGTTTCCAGAAGGCAGGGAGTGTGTAAATTGTGGGGCTACCTCAACCCCTCTGTGGAGAAGAGACGGCACTGGGCACTATTTGTGTAACGCCTGTGGACTCTATCACAAAATGAACGGGCAGAACCGGCCCCTGATCAAACCCAAGAGAAGACTGGTGAGTCTCCTGCCATTTCATTCTTTCTTTTTCTGCTTCTGAAACTTTTGCCTCCTATCTGCAGCTCGGGARCCTCAGCCAGCTCTCACTGGTCCCACTGTGTCAGAGGGCTGGGAGGGAGTGATGCTCTGAGAGATTGTCCCAGCTGCTGTGGGCCTCAGTTCTCTGGTCCTCTTGCAGGTTTAAAAATCAAGATCCMGGGCTTCTTGCAAACCAGAACTGAGTTTTCAACTCCACATAGTGCTTCTGGATGGTGACCTCAGGACAGTGACTCCTTCCAGGGCCTGAGGGCAGGATGATAATTTCCTGGTGACCAAAGAGATTATGAGGAATGCAGGATTTCTCCCGGGCTCTCCAAATTGCTGCCTTTCCCTTCTTAAGTGTGTCTCTATCCCCCTTGGCTGCTGGTGGCATRGAGAAGGGACCCAAACAGGATCCTGGGCATCAGACAGACCTTGGTCCTGMGAAGAGCTGGAACCATCAGGTCCTGGTGCCACCGGTACATGGAGGGGTCATTTGTGCCTATGCCATCTGGGTCTCCAATTGTGTCACAAGGACATGAGGCAGGGGATGGGGAGTGTGCAAAGCCAAGCTTTGTGTGCCCAGGCTACAGAAAAGTTGGAGGAAGACGAAATASTGTGGGTGAATGTTTGAAATAATAGTTACAAGACTGGTGACTGTTCTAAGCGCAGGCAATGTGTTTCAGCATCCCCAGTGATCTGTTCGTGCATTTCCCTGGAAGCCACAAAAAGGTCTGGGAGCTGTGGGCATGGCTAATAAACGTGTTGAAGTGTATTTGGCAAATAATCAGACAGACCACAAGGGGAAAAAATATATCAAGTGGGGGGAAAAATTATGGTCCCTGCTTGGGAAGTTATTGAATGTTTCGAATCGAGGCACRTTTGGTTTTGTCAGGATTAAAGACRYGGAAAGGCTCCTGGGGGCTGCTCAAAATMTGGAGGAAAAGCGGCTCTCTCCTCTTTGGGAAATTTCTGAGCTGATGAATGGGTCTGGCCAGTTTTGTGAGGCGTGTGCCTGGCATGGCCAGAGCCACAGGCAGGACAGGGCTGGTTCATCCGTGTTCTCTGTGAAGGTGCTCACAGCTCTGTCCTGCAGCTCTTAGGATGGATCAGCTTCCTCACCTGTCAGAGATCCATAAAATTGTCCCAGCTTTATTCCCCCTGGCACTGGGAAGCATTTGCAGGGTGCATTCCCAGGAAGGGCTGTGCTGTGAGGGGCAGCAGCTCTGTCTGGCTGTGTGAGTTTTGGGGAAGGTGTAGTTTTGCTCCTCTACCCCGCCAAACTTCCTGCGTACAAAACCTCTCCGTGCCCTCCCATACGGGCTTTTCCCGTAGAGGAAAATACTTGTCTCTCTCATCTTTCATAGCCTTGYTAGAAAAAAGGAAAAGCTTTCTAGGGAGGGAAGTACAGGCTGGAATTTTGATTTTTTTGGGCAGCTCTCTTGTTCTCTTCTCCTCCTCCCCCCCCAGCCCTTCTGTCTTAAACACACAAGCCCTCGTTTTCTTTATTTTTTTTTTTCCTCGTTCTCTCTTTATGTGTAAAGTTAACTTCCTAGGAAAAAGCTGCCGGATATCTGAGCCCTGGAGATAACTCCTAAACAACAGCTCCGTTTCCCCAGTCCAAACACACAGGAGCTTGAGCGTATCCAAACAAGCGGAGGGGGAGGCAGAATAGGAAAGCGGCTGGAAAGAGGGGGAGAGYTTTCAAAAAGTGTCTGATGGAACCACGAAAGAATGTCCCGAGTCACCCTGAGCCCGGCACATGTAAAATGAACKATATAAATAAATACATAGTGAAAGGTCATTCTTGGGGAAAAAAAAAAAAAGAGGAAGAAAGAAAAAAAGTAAAGGGAGACCTTGTCTTGTATTATCGCTCCAATCTTTGGGCATTTTAGTTAAAGTTACAAAAGTTCCCGTTCTTTAAATGCGGCCTTTGCTAAATGTGAAATTTGATTTTTCTGCTTTTTTTTTTTTTTTTTTTTTTTTTTTCTTTTCTGTTTTGTAAAAAAAGAAAAACCTTTTTTTTTTTTTTTTTTTTTTTTTTTTTTTTTTTTTTTTTCCCAGCACTGCTTGGGAAAAAGAGACAACACCCTTAATGTTGTTTGCACCTATATTTATTTCTCTTGATAACCTCTGAGCAAGGAAAACAATCGGAAGGCACCAAAGCTGGGCCTGCATTTGCATTTTGCGTGCCTGGATGAGGATGTGTGTGTGGCTGTGGCTTGACTGGATCTCTCCTGCTGTGCAGGCAGGCGGGCTGGGCAAGGCTGTGGATGGAGGTTCAGGGTGGGGACCCAGCTCCTGCCCTCTGCCACAAGTTTCCTGCGTGACCTAGGGCTGGTTTCGTAGGTTCTGATCGCAGCTGCAGCTGAAAGTAATGATAGGATTTCGATGGGTGGGAGAGAGGAGGCCAAGAAGTTCTTAGATGTTGAGAACCCAGCCCAAGCCTTGTTAAACTCAATGGGTGTCTTTGTGAGGGTGTCCTTTAGGTGACAGGCATGGAGTCTTGCAGAGCCCGGACAGCTCTGCTTCATCTCGTGGGGGAAGGTGGAAATCCTGGAAGTGTTGGTAGGGGGATCAAGAACAGGCAGGTGGTATCACACCATCACTGCTTAAAAAGCCTTCAGCCCTCCTGGAGGTTGCTCCTGTCCCTGTCACAGCCAGTGGCAGCCCCATCACTGCTGAGATAAAACCTTCCTTTAGTTTTTCTCCCATTTGCTGTCCATGCAGATGCAGAACTCTCCGTTTCCATGTTGAGCCAAGCTGGTTTTGGAAGGATTTCTCAGCAGGCCCATGCACACACGATAATCTTTTAGGAAAATGATGCTTGGAGATTTGTGGGTACATCCAGACACTGRAAATGCCCCTTAATTAAGCATCTTTATTAGTACTTGGTTCCTCCATCCTCCTCAATTTCACCTTCTCATCGCTGCTAGCGCTTCTGAAGTTGTGCCCTCGCTCACTGACAGCTATGCCAGGGGACTCTGGTCCTATAGATGATATGGGGCAGCTAATTAGTCATCCCATTACTGAACATGGCCAGGCCTGAGTCGGTGATTAGCGTCAGTGGATGCCATTGCTGGGAGCTTTACAATAGCGTTATTATTCATTGTTTCCTGCCCGCTGCCGGTGTCTCTGGTAGAAGTTGGTACAGCATAAAAGGTACAGCCTGGGACCAAAACARCTTAAAGTATTCAGCTAATGATGCTGAGTTTTTGTAAGTGAAACACAGCAGTTGGAAATGGTTTTAGAGAAGACAGTGGATGTTGTGATTTATTTGCTTATTTAATGTCAGAGTTTGAAGGCAGAGTGGTGGTGACCAGGAGAGTCTTTTGAATGCGCTTGCTGCAAGAGAAATTATGGTGAGCGCTGTGTAGAAACCCCAAATATCTTCAAAGGGGATGTTTCCCCTGTGTGGGCTGAGTCAAATATCACTGGTTTTTAGAAATTTCCTTAGGCTTGATTTTTGGGTCTGATAAGGGCAAAGCAGTCACCAAGAGACTCAATCCAGCCTSGTGCCCCTCCGAGCCACACGTGCCGAGGGTCAGGAATTGGGGGGCAGAGAGCTGCACACTCTGCTCCAGCTCGTGGTGAGAACCTGGCTGTTGTCCCCATGCTGTGTTTGGAACATGTCCATTATTTTATTATCGTGTTGATTTTGAAGGGAACCAAATTTGAGTCCATGGTATGGGCAGAAGGTGTGTGCACATCAGTTCGGGGCTCTGCTCTTCGTGGTGGGATGCTTCCATCTTCTCTGCTGGCCCTGGGATTTTTTCCAAATTTTTGTGCTGTCCCCAACTCCTGCGTGTCACCAGCATGGAGAAGTCAGCTAAAGGCCTCCTTGGGACTGGCTCAGTTTAAGGTCAGGCAAAACGGAATTGTCCCTATGGGCATCCTGACAGAGTCACTTGCTGTCAGATCAGCCACTCTGTGGTGTTTCCTTGTGCTCATGGGTATTGTCTTATTTATTTTTTAGACAGTTCTTTTCAACTAATTAAAAGGAAAAAAAAAATCCTCCTCTATCTAAAGCAAAACCAACCCGTCCTCTCTCCACCTACGCCACATTCAATTATGATTAAAATTGCAACATGACCTAACAAGAGCTGGTATTAACGCTAACGCTGTGCCAGTGTCCATGTTTGCATTTTGGGTTTGTTGTACGGTATCCAAAGATGTGGTATTTTCTTTTCTTTCTTTTTTTTTTTTTTTTTTTTTCAAATGTTGGATGTGCTACAGTGTGCGGCTGTGTGGGGTGAGGGGTAAATTTGAAACAGTAAGAGCACAAAAGAGAGCATTAAAGGCTCAGTTCTGCAAGGTGCCAAGCATTGCTATGATCTGGCAAATCGCTTAAGCACATGTTTTAACTTTAAGCACATGAGCAGTCCCATTGAAAGCAATGCATTGGGATGAAATCAGAGCTCTGGGACCGTGTCATATTGATGAAGAAGAGATAGGATGGGGATCTAAAGGTCTTATTTTTTTTTAGGAGCTGTAGTCACTTGCATACACGCAAACACGCATATGCGCTCACACAGCAGTCTGAAAACKCCTGTTCCTCCTTCAGTGGCAAAAGGACAATTTGTTTGCTAAACTTAMAGTTTTTAAATGATGAGTACCAATTCATGCATGTGAAAGAAGAGCAACTTTATTAAATTTGACTTCACTAAGTCATTATCACGGCTAACAAAAAAGCTTCTGTATACACTTAGACACGTAGATTTTTTTTTACTTGTTCCTACCCCTTTATGAAATGGTAAATTCTTCTTYCAGGCTTGTTACCAATCCTTAAATAAACATGAAGGTTTGGGCTGAGAAAAGGGTGTAATTAAAAAGTTGGGATTCTTGCTCTTTGCCGCAGCGTTATTTCCGATCTGGAGCCTGTCTCTTTTGAAGCTGAGCTGAATTTACGGGACCGGGCTGYGCTTGCGGTCGGGGCCGAGGAGCAGCTGCCCACCCGGGTCTCACCCAGCAGAGCCAGAGTGACTCACGCCCTTGACTCCAGCAATTGTCGGTTCAGGCCCTGACTGCAGAATTAGACCCCTGGAGGGTCTGGGAGAATTAAGATGGAAAGACGCGTTGGCATTTAAATAACATTTTCCCCTCTGGAATGGGCYGTGCCAGCGCTGCTAATTTTGATGAGTTCTATCAGAGGTTTAGCACTCACTTTTAGGATGCCCTTTGGCACCTGATTCAGTTCACATATAATTTGGGATTAAAGTACCTTGGGGATTTTTTTTTCCAAAATTATTATTTGTTCTCACAAGTCAGTTTCTGGAGGCCTCTGCCGATGTGCGTCAGTCTTKCAGGGTTGATGTTTTCTTTCTCAGAAATTTTGCTGATTGCATTTTTTTTTTTWATTTTTAAATTTTTTAAACAYGCRTGTTTTTCTCTCCCTCTCTTTCTCTTTCCCTCCTTCCCACAGTCTGCAGCCAGGAGGGCGGGCACGTCCTGTGCAAACTGTCAGACCACCACTACCACCCTGTGGAGGAGAAATGCCAACGGCGATCCCGTCTGTAACGCCTGCGGGCTCTACTACAAGCTGCACAATGTAAGTGTGACTGTAATGCTCAATAACGGGGCCTTGGCTTCGGTGCTCAATGACCCAAACTCTTCCTTGACTTGAGGATTTCCAGTCTTGGGTGGTGCCGAGACCTGTGTTATCCCTTTGGGGACCTTGGGGTTTGGAGCGGTGAGTTGCCAGCCAGTCGTCAAATGTGGCCTCTCCAACTTGGGCAGGTATCAAACGAGGCTGTCCATGGGTAATGTTAGAGCTTTTCCAYGCCTGAGCCAAGAAAGGAGGGGTGGATGGACACAGAGAGACATTATCTGCTGCTGATTGGGCTCAGAGCACTGGAAAACACAACACACTGTCCTGCAAGTCGATACCCCTCCTTATGCGTAGCATGGTTCCTCCAGCAAATACAAACTCTGGAAAATAAGAAATACGTGCCAGAAACTATTTAGATCATTCTTGGGTTTGTGGCTGCCTTTGTCCCGTCCCCAAAGATGATTTATTTAGGTTTCRTGTTTGTCCTGGTTGATGCAAGCGAGTCCCAAACCAAAAAAGGACTTGATTTAGACAGCGGGTTGCAGAGTCTGCTCAACCTGTGATGTGAATTTTAAAGCATYTGTCATGGAAGGGAAGGAGAAATGAAATTAAATGGCTGGCAGATTTAATCTAATATCTCCATGCAAAGCCAGCTCGCAGGAACCAGGGATATGTGCCCCAGGGAAAGAGCTAAAGGGATCTGAAAAGTCTTCTACTGAATAATACTGCTAATAAAGGAGACTTAAGGCTACTCCTGTTACTCTCATTCCACATGTGGCATTAGGATAATTATTATGTCAGAAGAAGKAGAAGACTTGCAATTTCTCTTCTTTGATATTTTTTTTCCACTAGTGGTTGATTGCTTTATATTTGGGTTGGAAATCTGGGGCTGTRTTTTGCCCTTATGTCCACCCATGCAAACACATCAAAGACATATTGGGTTTCATGGGGCATCCAACCCTTGTGGTATCTCAGTCTCTTCCATTTGTTATTTCAAGCTCTTTGGTTTCTTAGGATGAGTAAACAAGTTTGGATTAAGTAGAAAAAAAACCCCAACAACCAACCAGGCTAATTTTTCACCTGTTTCATGCGAGGTATCTTTCTTGGGAAAAAAGGAAAAGGTGTTTACCCTTCAGTGGGCAGGTGTCTCAGCAYGCTTTGAGCCTCATGTAGCAAGCAAAGCTTGTCATCAAACTCTCAGTGTGATCACTGCAAACAAACGGGCTGGACCCAGACTGAAAACTCTCAGAATATCACAAGAAAATATTCTGTTTGCTGTTTCCTTGGCAAGAAGGGATGAAGGTCAGCCAGCTTCACTGAGTTGGGGGGGGTGGGGTCTGTGTTTGTGCTCTGTTTCCATTTTGGCATTGTAACCACCAGTGGTAGGGCTTAAATCATGTTTGGGAAACCTCTAGGGAGCTGCCCTCCTGTAGCCAGCAAGGCCCTTTGAAGAAAATAGGCTTTTCTCRGTTGGTGTTGGTTGATGCCGTGCTTCAATGGGATGACTTGTACCCTTGAAGACAGTGCAGTTCCACCCCATGACTGCAGAAAATGGCAGGATGATGAGTTACAATTTGTCTTGTACTGGAGGAATGTCTGACTGGAGGAATGTCCCCCTGAAGTGTGTAGGATGGGTGGTTGAGTGCTGAGGTTCTCCAGAAATGTGCCTGCATGAGCACATCCTGTTCTTTTTTTGCACTAAGAATGCACACCTCTCTGKCCTGAGTTGACCCCTAAATCCCCTGTTTAGGGAAACACCGATCCAGCTGTGAAATTTGTGACATGGGGCAGGCCTTGAGCACATTGGAACCATTTCCATATTCATTAAAAAACACCAACAGCTGCTTAAAGGCTCAGCACAGCTACTTACCAAAGTCAAGTAGTATCTTGCCTTTTGAGCATCTCCATTAATGGATCCTGCTTAAATGAAACCCCCAGAGGACTGCGATCCTGTGTGCAGCAATATAACCAGGCAAGGATACTAAAACCTGCATATGAGTGGGTAGATACTTTAAATTTTTTTTTTTCTGATTGTATTTAGTTATGACTGTGGTGAGAAGTGTGTTCACGCTCCCTGTGTGTATATTATCCCCTGATTTCCATCAGGAGAGGGGTCAGAAATAGAGAGGCTGATTGCAGCGYGTCCCTCCCAAGCAGCTGTCGGTGTAGATGTTGTGCCAGTGCCAGTGGAAGGTCTTTGGATGCTCAGAAGATGACTTAACCCTGTTTCAGGCTAGGCTGTAGCAAATTCCTGTCTGCTTTTTCATCCATCCCCCCTCCCCATTTTTTTTTCTATTCTTTGGGTTTAATGAAATTTTCTGGGATCTTAACAGCATTAGGATATTTTAATGGACTGATCTGCAGCCGAAAYTTACCCAGATTTTATGTCCACACCGGGAACGATTGCAGTGAAAAGGCTAATTTTTTTTCATGGTGTTAATTTTTTCATGGAGCTATATCAGTTTGTTTTACTGTTGATTCCCACAGCTTAAGCAAACCCATTTGTCAGTAGGATATAAGCAATAATCATAATAGTCTTGGGGTGCATTTAGTGAAGCTGYTGGCATTCCTCCCACTGACTTCAACAAGAGCCGGCTCCATTAACACCAGTATTAACAATGACTAATATTTCACATTGATACGGTGCCTTTCATCCCGTGGCATCCCAGAGTGCTTTCTAAGATACAGCCAGCCTGGAAGATTAACCCAACATTGTAATGACTATGTCTGAAGGATAAATCCGCTTCAGTGACAGGACCTTATTGAGGTCAATGGCAAAATCCCATTGTCTTCAGTCAGAGCAAGATCAGGCCTATAATGGTTAAGGCTRTCCCCTGCATTTGATCTGTTGAGTATGAGGTTCTCATCCTTGTTATTTTAGTCCTTGGAAGCAGGATGAGCCTTCACACTCTTCAGAGGTGGGTGAGAGTGTACCTTGCTGGCCTGTGCTCACAGGAGTGAGTGATTTGCCATTATTTTTGGTAAAATTCATCAGAAAAGGCCCCTTTCCCAAAACCCTAGAGCAGGGCTCTGTGTCCCAAGAGCAGAGAAGTCAGTATTTTGCATATGATAAAACAAAGAGCATAATTCCTGCCCATAATTAATTGGCTCCATCTGAAATTAATGAATTTCATATACATGCGTTGGGCTGGTTTAATTTTAATTTAGCATGTGTTTGTCATTTTTATCAGAATGAATTTTCACGGAGAAGGTCTTCCCTCCGGGTCTTTCATTTCTCTACCCCAGAAACAGAGATGGGTCCTCAGCTTTGATGTTTTGGGGACCACTTTAACCCTGCTGTGACTGGTCTTTGAAGTCACTGGAAAAATTTTCCACTTTGCTGCTTTGACTGTGCTGGTTCCTGGAGTTTATCTGAGTCCTTATGTGTTTGGCACTTGAGTTAGTTACCTGCTAGGAGTGTGAGACCATATACACTGGGATGATGTGTCCCATCCTTGAGTTTCRCATCAAATTGTGGCCTGGGCCATCCTGTTCTTAGTGATGGATGAAAAGGAGAAATGTTGCTTTGGGGAAGTGTTCACTGCCCTGAGCAAGGGTCAGGACGCAGCACAGTCCCAGTGCCAGCACCAGGCTTTGTCACCTTGCCACAATCAGCTCCTGGGCTTGAATCTTTGCTGCTTCATCTGGAAATTGGYTCTGGCTGCTGCTGAGCCTTTGTGTTGTGATACAAATCCATGTTAGAAGCTGAGGAGGCTGAGGCTGTGAGTGTCCCCCCAAATCTGGGCTGGATTTGTCAGGGATTGATGCTTCCTGCTCTCCTCTTGCTTTGCTGCCTGGTGGGGCTCACTCGGGGCTTCTTCCTGGCTTTGAACCTGGGCAGCACATCCCTGCTGGCTACCTAAAAACAGGCCAGGCAAAKAATTCCCATCTTCAGGATGGGAATTTGTATTTTAATAGAAAGTAATTTATTGCTGATCTGGAGCAAAGGGCCATCCTTGTGTGGTGCATCTTCATTCCTTCTGTGAAAAGCCAGGGAGACTGTGTTTTGTGTTTTGTTTGGAGCCCATGACATTTGAAATTTTCCTTGTTGCTGCCCCAGGGCTGTTGTTGGGCTGCTCATTGACAGATTCTTCCTTTGAACCTTCAGCTGGTGGCAAATAGGGCTGCACCCTCCAGCTCACTTTATCCAGATCAGCCTTTTTTTCACCCATTTTTAGGTGAGGTGAAGGCTGATATCACTGCTGGTAAAGAGTGCCTAGGRTCACAAATTCAGACTGGGATGACAAATTTTAGAAATGCCTAAACCAGAGATGAGCCTGGTCCTTCCTCTCCCCATWATTCCATCTTTGCTTATAATATTTTATCCCAGTCTGCGTGGGGAGGGAAATCCAGGATTGATTCCCATGCTGTGAAGAGGGACCAGTGGGGTCTGAGGAGCAACAAGCCAAATTTTGCTGTGATCTGGGTGAAARAAATGCTTTATTCCTTGTGCTGATTTAAGGTTTTATGGATGAAGAACTGCTCAGGAACATTGCAGGGACATCTTTTCATTGTCCTTCACAGCAGATCCTGGTGGGCAGTGGATCCATTTTATTCCTCCCCTTTCTCCCTTTTGCAGAATGTCCCTCAGCACCATCATGTGCTCACATTTATTACAAAAAATGGTTCACCCTTAGGGTGATTTGCAGCCTTCTGCTGTAGGTGAAATCCTTCAGAGGAGCCAGAGCAAGACCCATGTACATTCTCAAGTCCAGATTTTTAAGGTTGTTTATGGGACATTTGATGCATAAATCTCTTCCCAAGTATGGTTTGTGGGGTTTTCATGTCACCCGTGCTAGTGCTTGTTGTGATGCTGGCTCTCTGTGTAGTATAGAATCACAAAAAATGGAATATCCTGAATTGGAAGCGACCCCTAGAAAAATCAAAGTTCAACTCCTGGCCCTGCACAGGACAGGCTCAAGTAATGAGAGTAATAAGAGTTACTTACAGGAGGTCCAACAGATACCATTTTC